AACGAACAATGCCTACAGATGTCAACCTTAATAAAATAATGCAATGACAAATTAACGTCAGAATAAAAAAATAAATAAAGAGAGTTAAGCTTTTTAATCTTTGTTAATCTTTGGGAGTTAATCGTAAAACCTAGCATGCCAGGCTTGTTATGTGCATCAATCTAAAGTATTTATTATGGATATTGTCTATGTAGCAGAATGTCTGGCAATAGCTTTGATAATGTATTAGTAATCAATTTTTACATTGCAATAAACTATTTTGTTTGAATCATGTCATATGCCTACTGCATGCGTAGTTGAATAGTTAGACCCGTGCATATAAAGCATTCATTACTTGTATGCATGGTGTATTATCAAGTGATATACTGGTAAACAAATCTAGCCACTAATTCATTACTTGTTAGTTTTCTCGAGTTTTAATCTTGACAGGACACATGTTGATGATCATTTCCATATAAACCATAGTAAGAACAAAAAATTGAAATACATATTTTTACCTTGCTTTCCCGATGAGACAAATATTAATCAAGACAAATAATACGTAATCACTTATAAGATCAATATGTGTGTAACCATAAGTACTCATTTAATCAGCAACATATGTAGATGGCAAATGAAGTAAGGGATATTAAAAGTTTCAATCTGTAACAATTAGTTTAAATACAAGTTTATATACACCAATGTGTTTATAATCTGTTTTACGATAATATATTGTCTAGGCTGAAGCAATGAATTTTTTGATTTGTGGAGAGTAGTGCAATCATGTCAAATATCTGTACGATTTTGCGTTGTTAATTAGCATGATGTAGATAGTTAGAATGATCCAACCCCTGTTTAGTTTGCTATTGTTTCAGTCAGTATTGAGTATGTTAGATATATGCAGATATGATAAAATCGTTGTGAGCTCATGTGGGATTATTTTTTTCATTACTAAGGGTTGTTCACATCAAACAACATACCCTGAATGTAATTTTAATACAGATAAATAACGCTCCCAAGAGCTTACGGAAATTTCCCAAATCTAAATATAGAACATTAAAACAGGCGAAATGAATGACTCACAGAAATCCCCTAGTTTATAAATAGAACATGCTTCCTAGTGTGTCTCTGTCATATAAATCTAAAGCACACCTGGTTGAAGAAAGGTATACACTGGTTTACACTATTTGAATATCGAAATAGTGGAGTTGTTACATTGGCTTTTCACATGGTTATGACTTTTTCATGGGTAATGTTTTGATTTCCAGTATAATGTGGATAATCTTTAAGTATCTATAGATGTTATTCTATCATTACATAAGTACTTCGTTTTATATTAATTATAATTATTCATTGAAAACTGCATGAAGCTTTATTCTTGACTAATCCAATTTATATTATGCATCATATGTTTGTTTTTTTCTTTTCCTGTAAATTGACTCGGAAGCACAGCTTCTAATTTTACAAATTTCTCAATAGAACGTCATATTTTCCTAATTCATTTTTGAAATTTTGTTCAGTAGTTTAAACTGTAAGGAATTAGTATGCAACTGCACAGGAAACATGACTTTAAAACAACACATTCCAATATTAAATGGTGTTCGTATTTCCAATGGGTGTAATTTCTTAAAATCAAAAACGTCAAACATTTGATTTATGTTTATAGCGTACTACGTGGCGTCTGCTTTTATAGGCATAAGCGAATTTTATTTTTTAAAGACTGATTTACAAAATAGCCTGAAGCTTTAATGAACATTGTATTTAGATACTACACTGCGAAATCATGTGAAAAAGAAGAAGCTTTCAAACTGATTTGCAAATTGAATAAATGCGTAGTGCAGAGCTGAGAATGTCTGGTGCAGACAATTTGAGATATAGTTTGAAAACAGCATTATTATCAGCAAAATGTTCTTTCGTGTTCGTAAACCAGAGTCATAAAAAAGAAACAATAATTTCACACATTTATCTTTTAAAACATTATGAACCCAGACAAGCCTTTTAATGATAGCCAGATATAACATATTTACCTTTTATAACACTATGAACCAGGAAAAGTTCTTTTTATTCAGTTAGCCCGTTAAGAAGGTTCGGTAATATTGATCGCAAACAACAGATGTTTAATCAGGAAATTTTCTTTTCGACCGGTAAACCAGGAACAACTCATAAAAACTAGAAAATATTTTGCATATTTACCTTTTATAACAATATGAACCCGGAAAAGCCCTTTTTATGCATATAGCCCTCCAAGGAGATTCGGTAATATTGATCGCAAACAACAGACGTAAAGCAGGAAAATGTCCTTTCCGACCCGTGAACCATGAACAACTCATAAGAAGTAAACGCAATTTCACATAACATAACTTTATTCATATTATGAATCAGGAAGATGCTGTTAGCCCCTTAAAAACCCGGTGATATTGGTTGGAAAAAATGTTACAGTTAATTGAAATTACAGTATTTCAGATGTATACACCAGCTACATCTCATAGTTGTCAAATGTATTTCTAGAAGTATGTTTGTGTGAAAATGGTAGGTAAGTTTAACGAAAACTGTTTCCAAATGTTCGCTTTTACCATGATTTTCTGACAGTGAGTTACAGCTGTCCATTTTAACACGCCTGGAACAAACAGGAAACAAGACTTGAATGCAATCAATGAATGACTGCAAATAATTTCAAAAGTCAGATTGACATGATAAATTAGTTTTGTAAATTAGTTTGATAATAAACTAGGACAGCAGTACCCAATTTACTACCCAACAATTATTTTCATTTATTTCTAAGATACTGAACACCAATCCATCAATTAAATAAATTATTAGTGGCCCTGCATAGCTGAAAATGTGTGGTAGATGCAATTTGAGAAATAGATATGACACAGTATCATTAGATTGTAAACCATGTAAACTAGGTACATATCACAGTGAACAAGAAAACGCTTTCTGAACAATCGTTAATATACGACCCGGTTGGTATAATTGTGTTGCGTAGTTTTTTTCTTGTCCGAATAGAATTGGCATGTGACAAAACTATGATTAGATGTCAAAACCATCTGTCAGCTTGATACGTGCACTCTATCAAATAGAAAACTTGCTTGAGTTTATTCCTAACAATGGGTTTCCACACTCTTACAAAATGTTTTTTTTTGTTATTTTATATTATTTTAATATTCCATTGTATTCAGTAAAAAAGTCGTTGAATAATAGTTAGATTACATCATCGAAAAGACGTGAACCAAGAAATGTCCTTTCTGACCCCGTGAACCAGGAACAACCCATAAAAGAGTGGCGTGATGTTAAGATTTATAGGTTCATACGGTATAAAAGTAGTTGCATTCGACGAGCAAACATAATATTTTTGGTGGCAATGGAAGGAAGACGGATCCTCCTATGCACAGCTTTTCTTCTTTGTAGCATTATTTTTTGTAATGCTGAGTTTGATATTTCAAACTTATCCTGGGAAACACTGGACGAACTGGAACAACTCGAAGATGTGTTTGGTTATGCACCAAATTTTACAGGTAAGACACCATATTTCATTGCATAATAACCAAATGAAAACAGATACAGTACGGTAGATAGAAATAACACGAATGAACATTTTGCCAAATAACGACCACGAATCTTATTTTTATTGCTCTGATAACAATAAGTTTCTGATCACGAAGTAATCTCTGATCATGTATTGTCTACACCGCTTGTTATATTACATTTAGGAAAGCCATGTCCAATTTATCGTGAAGATCTTCCAAATGACTACGTAGCTTACTGGGAGCTAGAGATAAATGAAACAGAGTTCGTTATTATATCATCAAGTGAGAAGACTGGTGACTATCGATTAACACAAGAAGGTCCATTGCCAAGTCCTATCACATTACTTGACAACTATGCATCACTGGCCGAGTCTGAATGCCACCGTTATTACATGCTGTCACCAGCTGGTCAAATGATCTGTCGTAACAATCTAGATGAAATTGTAGCTATTACAACAGAAATATCTCCGATATTAATGAAAGATGTTGAGGTACGAAGCAAATGTTTTAAATTGTGGTTTGTGGTTTGTGAGATTTAAATATCAGTTTACGCGTGTTGCATCTTATCAGAAGCAAAACAATACATATACGGGTATCTATATTTATTTACAGAATACCAAAATGGAAATGGATGAACTGACTAAGGTTCTTGTTGAACAGAAAAAAGAAATACAAGAGGAGTGGGACCAACGCCGAGTAACAGTTGAACAGTCTGGTGTATGGTCAACTATATCAAAATACGATAAACTGACATTAGAGAACGATGATGAAAATGACCATATCAACCTATTTTATAATGAAACCTACTCCGAACAAGCTATATCACCAGGTTAGTAACGAAACGTTATTCATTATACAATTCATTCCGGAAATTCATAATAAATCAGCAGTTGTATCACATCATTGTAAGTGATATTTTCTCTTCTTGTATTCTGCTTCAGGGGAAAAAATATACATACCGCTTGGCAATGCAGTAGATGAGCTCATAATTACGGTGGTGCCAATAAACATAAGTATGAGGCCAGACGAAATGTTTCCATGGCAGTTACGACTCTGTCAAGCTCTCCTTGACGTATGTGATACGAAAAGTTATAAGACAATAGATGAAAATAAACTACACGTAGATGCAATGGGTCGACGCGTACTTGTGTTGGAATTACATGAGGATAGTAACTTTCTTAATGAGTTACTTGAGGAAACTGAAATAGGTTTTCATATAGAAATACACTTCGGCGACGGAGAGGTTGTATTGAGACGATTCGGGATTGATTTGAGCTATGATACAAGACACCGAGAGAAACGACGTACAGAAAGGCGAAGTTGGACTGGGTTCACGTATACATATATACCGAGCGAAAACTTGTTTCCTGATTATAATCAACATGACATAGGTGGATGCATGAGTGGTTGTGGTCCAGTGGCATGGGCAATGGTTTTTGGGTACTATGATCGTATGGCGCATTATAACTACCGGTCCCCTCATTATCGATCATTGTATCGATGTGGGTCATCTGGCACAACTGGCTCCGATAGTTGCGAAGCCCCTAGGTATATGACAGATACAGTGAAAGGTTACGTAGAGGATATCCGTCGCGAACTTGGTACATTCTGTTTGGCAGGTCAGGGTGCAACATTGCAAAGTGATATGGATAATGTGGAAGAATTCTACCGAGCAAGACAAGGAAGCCGTGCAAGAATATCAACCTGTAAAACTGGCGGACCATTTGGCCTTGCTGGTTTTTACAGTACACGAGTTGCAGATAATATTATTGATAATTTAGAAGATGGGCGACCTGTCATCGTTGGATATCGTGTTAATGGGAATTTCCTCGCACAACATTACGCTGTAGCAACCAAACTACGCCGTCGATCACGTCGTTACCGTCATTGCATATGGTGGCTTTGCTTTGGATGGGTAACCGAGTGGGATAACGACATATATCTGCATAATGGGTGGGGTGGTACTGGTAATGGTTGGCGTACTGCTGAAGGATTCTTTGCTGCTGTGGCACGTCCAACCTAGTAAAGATCACAGTAGTACCATGCTCTCTTACTAGTGTCTCATTTTGTATTACGTAATTATATTGATTGATTTTCGCTTGTTTGCTAGTAAAATCGATTCTTTTTTCATGTTATAATATTTCGTTTTATTCAAAGTTTATTAACCCTTTAACCAGTTTTGTGAATCCAATCCAACATGGGCAATACCAAATTATTTTCCATATTACTAGGTTCATTTGAGTTTATGCGGAAATAACTTTAAATATAAAAAATACTGTAATATTGGACCGTAGTAATGGATATGTGTGTTTGTTTATTGTATTACACAACATTGCAAACTAATAATTGTTGCTTGTGTTTGAATATAGCTATATATTAGTGATAATGTCATCGAATAAACGAATAAACATATTGACTTTATGTGTCAGCAATTTCAAATGAATGAATGAATGAATGAACGAATGAACACTCAGAGCATGTTCGAATTGTATGTAATCAAACAATGCATTTTACACGCGTTGTGTACGCTGCTATGAGTCCTAAATCGAACAGAACGCTAGACTACGACCACAGACCTTTAATACAGTGCTAGCCATGGTCTTAGTGTTATCAACTGTAAACGCATAGCGACGACGCACGTGAACGTATTCGAGAACAGCTAGGAATATTATATATGATTAGTTGATTAAACAAAATCTTGGTCAAAACAATTATTCTACATATTCGATGTGAATTGGCCCCACGTACTTAATTTTAAGCTGCCCATATAACGAATAATTAAGTGACACGTGAATACATGATGATGACTAATAAGTTAAACTAACTGCCTGTCCTATGCAATTATTTAACTGGTCTAAAACATCAATGCTAATTATTTCGTTATAAGGAATTTGTTTTGAAAGGCAAATTCACACAGCAATTATGGCAATTACCTCATGTAATATACAAACCGGTCAAAGTGCATTGAATGATAATTGTGTGTTTATTCTGATGATGTCAAGTTAAAGATGGTCATACCTTAGAAGTTCAAGTTTTCTTTGTATTCACATGATAAAAGAGTAATGCATCGAGGCAATCGGGTATACCACTATACATTGTGTAATTCACGACACAGGGAGTGTCACACTCAAATGTGACGGTGCTTTAGGAATATTATGTCATACCAAGTATATTTTAAATGTAATTCTGAGACATGAAAAAACAAATACAAACCCTGTATGTAGTGTGCAATCATATTATATTTCATCTATTGCAAACCCGAAACACCCGAATACTATGTCCCTGGTGTAAACTTTTCTGGCCTTAATCCGACAAAGCATGTATCATATATATTCAGCCATGTAAATTTGAAACAGCCACGAATATAAGACCTACATGCGTGCGTGTGTCTTTGACATGGTATTTTAGTCATTTCTGCTGCGTTTTGTAATTTGTAATTTTCAGACATTAGAATTTTTATCGACACCGGAAGCTGCGGTTTCTCCGATAGCATTGCGTAACACAAAATGTGTCAAATAAAAGTAAATTAAAGTACATGCCACGTCGTATGTTGTTACCATTAATTTACTCATAATTTTGATTTAGTATTATATGCATTAAAAATATTAATAATTTGATGGACAACCCCTCCATTGCCCTTTTAGAGAAAACACCTCTGCAGCTATGCCAATATAATCGAATAAGTCAAATTTCTATATGCATATTCATAGATGTTCAATTGAGACATTGATTTTCATTTTGTATATATGGAACTAAAAGTTTACAAAATCGATCTCACCAATAAGCATCCTTACCATCATTCCAACCACGATATTTGTATGGAAACGTGAATTAAAGGATTTTGTCACGGTTACAACACAGATCTTTGGTCAGAACATTGTAAATGTCACGGGCTGGTGGATCGAGTGAATTGTGCTGTACAAAGAAAATTCACGACGTGTGATCAATTACAACAATCTTTCTGCATATGACTAGCAAAATAAATAATATCAGAAACTGTTGAAAAGCAATATTCTGCAAAATTGATAACGAATAACGGTAGATATGGCTTAATCGAGCAAAACTTAAATACGTGTTCTATCAATTATTAAGACTGTCATTGGTCATTGATAGTACACAGACAATATAAACTATTATAAATAAATTTAAGCATTATAAAGTATACGCTATCAAAATGCAGAAACGAACAACATATTCTGGTAAACACACGTTTAAACATTTCAAAAAATATAATTAAATATCTCTTTGACTTTTGCGTTTCTTTTTATGACGCGAAAGATCGCACCTAGCGTAACACTATATTTTCTAATGTTATGATATAGTGAATTAAATAAGTTAATGCAATTCTATTAAATAATTAACGTGAATTTTACGTTCTGAATAGGTGTACTGTGTCCTTATTTTGCCGTGTTGAACGAAAAAATCCGGTTATGTGTCTACCTAAGGGAATCCTTAACGCCAACAAGAATCATTAAATAGTTGTAATTTAGATGTCATTGTGTCTCTTTCTATTATTTTCTCAGTCACCGGTTTGTTTAAATTCAGCAGCAAGCCGAAATATTCGGATTGTGCTAATAAGCTATTGAACTATCGTTGCCAGTACTTGATAGGAATACATAACAAATATAAACGATCGCTCCTAATTAGCATACATTGGCATATGAAAAATATATAAATTATCAATTTCTCCGTAGTTTTGATATTCAAGTTGGTCATGTGATAAAAAACACCTACTATCAATTGTTCATAGATCTTCGATTCATAGGAATCCTAGCCATGACATCATTCGTATCAACCAGCTTTAATAACAAGATGATTCTGTTTGTTAATAATGCATGTTACTCAATGGGAGCGTTATAATCTTTAGACCCTGTCCATTGCTATAGCAACTCTATATTACATACAAAACTATACTGACAGGAGACCTGACAGTTGAAAACAAACTGATGTCCTATAAAGCATATAAGTAATGAAGCATTTCACAAAAATATAAAGTAATAATATTGTTAAACAAATCTGATAGTGATCTACCAAAGATACCTATATATCAAATATTCAAATGCTTGAGCTGGTAGTTTTCAAGAAAATATTACTCTTTACCAAAGAAATAACACACAGAAATAACGATATTGCCAATAAATGAACAAATCTGTAAAATCCGTCCAGGGGCCAATGTTCACCAACAATATAAGCTAAACATAATTAATATCATTTCGAAATGTGCACATGAGCTAGTAGTCTGCTCAAAATATGTACAAGTTTCAAAAAAAATTGCTGCGGACGTTACGTCCTCGCCCTTCACGCGTTACACGAGATGGGACGGTAAATCACCTACTAGAGTGGGAGCTCATTAACTATTTAAGTAATATAATGGCAAGACAAAACTCTAATAGTCGGAGTAATATCCGTCACAATAAATATTATGTTTTATGGTCGTGTGTACTGGTCGTAATGCAGACAAACGTTGAAGTGATTTAACGACACAGTAAGCAGTGTTAAAAGAAGAAAACAAAACTTATGGCTAGATAATTCGTTATAACTTGGGAATGTCTTATGGAAGCACCTAGTTTTAAATGTACACAGCAACAAGTACATATATGTAACACAGCTGCGTTCTGGTCATGGCAATATTAACACTGGGACATACATTACGTAAATCAAATAAAAAATCTGTTCAGTCGAGTGGTTGGCGATTACCTTCACACATGTTATTCTACATATCATTCACATATGTTTGAGGTCATTATCAGTTCAGTTTTGCGTTACAGGTCAAAGATTGACTACTACTCTTTACTGAAAAATCAAATATGGCCGCCATCATATTACTACAAATATGGACAACTTTCAAACCATATCATATAAATTTAAAGCGATTTAAACTTACCTGGATAGCCCTCCTTCTAAAGTTAAAGAGAAATGCATGTTATAATTACTGATACTTTGTTGCGGTTACAAAAAAGTTGACTGCTTTTCTCATAATATGGAGAATACAACAACCTTGGTATACCGAAGCATGATGATCATTTCCTGAGAGCACATGGTTCACACAATTCGTCTCGTCACTAAGAAGGTCAGTGGGTAATTTAGTTAGTATGAATTATGGCAGTTGAACAGGTGAATGACTGCAAGCACACTCTGTACGAACTGGTCAAAATGCATTGATAAATCACCGTGTGCTTACTCTAGTGATGTATATATGAAGTTTGTAGAAACGGTCATATCTTAAAACTTCATGTTTTCTTTTATCATATGTTAATAAATGTGTGGGGCACGACGCACTCGGGTATACCACAATACCTTGTATAAATCACGACATATATCCACAGGGAGTGGTAGTTTACTGTTGTGGAACATGCGAATAACTGCAGTTTTGCAAGAAGACTTGCTATCAAAATTTCAAAACAGCTAACTGACACCCAAGCAATAAAGAACAGAGGCGTGACCAACTGAAACGTTTATCTGAACAACTTGACGTGTGCCATTTATTTTTATAAGTCCACCCCACCCTTTACTTGAACGTACTGAGAACAGATGTAAAAAATGTAAAGATATTCTGTTTAAGTCGACAGTGATTAATTATAATGGCATTAAGTCCAAACAAAAGTCATTCTTATATTCACATACAGATGGTATACCCAGTCTAGACTGTACACAGTGAGAAACCTGAACAAACACAATTATTACAAACTCCATTTTTTTTCGGACAAGTTACAGGAATACGCGATTGGTTTCAGCATTTACGAAATCATTAGCCATGATTCGGTTTATAGTTAAATATCAAAGAGAGACGTGCTCGGTTTGGCATAGCCGGATAGAGCTTTGTTAGCTGTATACACGGTAGCGTCGGTGAACAAGCTTGACCCGAACGCCTCGGTTCAGCGTTAACTCTATTCGCAAAACGGTAACAGTCAAGGGAGTGTATATTGCTGTATACTGGCCCGTGAAACTAACTGGAAGAAACAAAATAAATTCTTCAATTCCGGCCAAACAAAATACCTTCAAGAAACAATCGGTCAAGCTTGG